ATTTCAAGCAAGAGACGGATCAACAGGAGGGAAGAGAACAATCAGCAGGCTGGAAAACAGAGCCTTAGGAACCACTGAAGCCACAGGGGCTGCCCTGCTCCAGGAGACTGGGGAGGGAAGAGGAGGATGGCTATTGCACTTGATGTACATGAAAAACCCGCTGCTAAAAGGATAGGAACAGGAGCGGCAGTAAGTCACGGTAAAGAAATTCAAGCTGGCGAGCTGCTTGGGGGCTAGAAGGACAGGCTTCAAACAAACCAGTAAATGACTGAAGTCAGAACCAGTAAATGAGTTTAAAGTCTCAGCACTGCAGAGTCCTTAAGAATTCCATAGATTGAGGTTGTAGCTCAATCAGGTATAATTATTTAGGGCAAAGAGAAGATGAAACCTGGATACATTCTTCAGGTCCCTGCAGTGTTGGTTGTAGTATTTAAGTCAAATGTGACATAGCTTGGGTCTGTGTATATGTATTTAAGTATCCTTCGTCTTCAGGGACCAGCAGTAAACACACATTTGGTCTTACACAAGCATGTGACTGAGCATGCATAAAGAAAATAGCACAACAGCTTATACCCTACAGGCACAGACAGCGATTAAGTGCAAGGGTATTTTTTTTTATTTTTTTTTTGAGCATACACATACATAAAGATAAAGGGGGTATAAACACACATAGATATAAAAAAAGGACAGTCTGCTGGCAATTACTATATTAATTCTGGTTGTTTCCTAGTCAGATATTTTCAGTATTTTTAGAGTGGATGTTTTGTCCCCCAATAATGAAGCATTAGTCTGTATTGATAAACTGTGTAAATAAAGTAACGCTTGGTATGTAAAATATCAGCTGTGTGTAAATATGCTGTATTTTCTTGGTTTGGGACTGTTTTGCAAATGGATAAAATTGAATCACTCCAACTTACCATTTATTTCCTGTACAATTCGCTATTGTGTAACACTGTATTAAAGTGTGTGGCCTGAAGTGAGGATTTTTTTTTTTATTATTTTTATTTTTTAATTACAGCAACCCTTGTGTTCTGGGAGAGGCCAGGTCCTGGAGGTGGGTATGCTGGGGCGCTGCCTGGAACAGGAAGGCCTAGGGGAAACATTTCTGGTTCCTGGAAACTCTCTCTCAGTTGTATAAGCCTCAGGTCACCAAGAGGGGGTTGCCTTTGTGTTCATGCACCTTTTAAAATTCTTCAATTCAGTTCTTAGCAGATGCTGGTATCTTACATAGTTTGAATTAAATTTCAGATTAAATTCTCCCTCTGAGTCTATTTTACTGAACAGGGACAGTGTTATTTACCACTACCCTATGCTGTAATATGGCTTACACTGTGTTCGCACAGGTATTTATGTAGGTGTACACTCACTGAAGCATGCACTTTCAGGTTTAGGCATTTACCATGACGTGGGCGCTCTGGTCTTGAACAGCTGTAGTAATGGTGTGCTTTTTCCAGAACTAAGCTTTAAGTAAGTTTTAACTTCTCTGCTAAGTTACTAATTCTTGACAGTGCAGGAAGGGGAAAATACACTGAAATGGAGCAAAAACTGACAAAACAGGTCATTAGCTCTGACTGTATTCCAGGGGGGAGTGTAGTGGGCTCTTTCAGAGAGTAATAGAATTATATATTCCTCATGTATGTTTTTCTTCTTCTTATGCCATACCATTTCATCATGCATTTCCAGGAGGCATTATAATGGATGGATTAAAAGAATCTGAAACATCAGTTCTTTGAATCATTGCTTTATGTTTAGCTGGAACTCACTTGTTTACAGCAAAGCAGTAAGAGTATAAGAATGTGAATTTTCATGTTTGAAGCTTTTAGGAAAGCAAGTGAGCAGCTGGCTGGCTGATGCTGTGACCTAGACTACAGAGAAGACATCTGCTTCAAGAGAGGAAAACAGGGTGTGCAGAAGAATGGCAGATCTCACCACGGCACTTGTGGCAGAGGCAGCAGCAGTGTGTTCTACTTCAAGTTCTCTGAAATACATGTCAAAATTGTTCATGTAACAAATTAAATAGATTATCATGGATGAAGACTTTATTTGCTACTATAGAACACATTTTGAAGTCTGCCACTGTATCGGGTATTTAACCTATCCTGGAAAATGAAAGGAAAACAGATCTGTATACTGGCACCGGCTGTGCAAATCTAGTTCTGCAGGGAAGGGGCGCCATGGATCAAGTGCTGCCCTGACTCTTGAACAGAAAGTCCTCTGACAACTTTGAAGCGGTTTGGTTAGCCTTTCGTACAGCTAACTACATACCTCAGTGTCCAAAATGTCCAAAACTGAGAAAGCACAGGCCTCCAGCTCTTGCTCTTGTTAGAAAAGATGTGGTTCTCTCACTCTGTGCTGTCCTTGCTACCTGTCAATACCTGAGGCTACCCAGCTCTGCAGTATCTCAAGGTGATTTATTTAGCTTTGTCACCTTTCCCTGCCAGAACAACAGGGCAGAGTAAGAAGGGGAAAAGCACACTTGAATTCTTCCTTTGCTGGTGGCTTGTGAAGGGGTTTGTTCTTTTAATCACACAGTGGCAAAAAAATGTTAGCATTAAAATATTCAAGACCTAGAGCTCAGATGCATAAGTACTAAATTGTATGACAAATGCATATCATCTATTTCACCTTTAGCCTCACGGGATTTTAGTAGAGAAGTTAATGGTTTTACTTTTCCCTTTCTTTCCTCTGAGCGCACATTTTCTGATTTGACATTGTAGGGCGGTTTTTTTTTTTTAAAAAGGGTACACAACTAAAACTTGTTTACACAGAAGAACATTTCACAAACATTCACTTTTGAAAACTGGAATACATAACTTGACATAGGAAGTTCTTACAGAATACAGTACATGTTTATGCAAATGAACATACATAATTATCTTAGGGGAACTCTCCATGAAGTTAAATCTACCACCAGTGATGCATTTATAGTGAGCTTTGAGAAAAGGCTCTGAAACAGACAGGGCAAGCGGGAAGAAAACTTGCAATAATTCCATATTCAAACACCATTAAATTCCAAGTACTCCTTTTGAAGGATTACCCTGGTCAAAACACTTTTTATTCTCTTCATAGTGAATCAAATCATGGTTTTTTTGAAAAATACTAATTTTTTTAAACATATTATGCAAAGTTGGTTATTCCACCACTCCTTTTTCCCCGAGGCAAAAAAATCACATCTATTACTTCTTAAAAAGGAAAAAGAAAGCAAGAACAGCTTTAAAATAACTGCGTTTGAAGACTACAGGAAGCTTCTGCGTTTGCTTTTGACTCTGCTCTAATGCAGAGGCAGAGCAAAAATCTGAATCAGACTGTACTGCTGCCACAATGCTGCTGAAGTCATGTGGGAGCTGTGCACCAGAGACTGCCAGGTCATTCTTCTGTAAAAAGCAGCATGAAGGACTTTAAAGATAGAAGGGCAGTAAGATGGAAAAAGTAGAAGAATCATTAGGGAAGAACAGAAGCAGGAACCAAACACTTGAATACCTTTACAGGATTAATACATGCTTCAGAAGGCCACTAAGAATGCAATTCAAACATGGTGTAAGTTAAGTTGGCATTATCCCTTGATCATTTTAATTAAATACCTTTCATCTAGGCATTAAGTGTCACCAACATTCATACACATGAGTACTTCTCCTTCCTCCCCCAAAGTAGCAGTTAGGCACCCAAACAAAAGGAACAAAGACTTAAGGTAGCAGAAGAAAAGCCTAGGTTAGCAGTGGGACTAGCAAGCTTTTAGTTTTCTAAAAGCAGACCTGTGTTATTTTGAAACCTAGTTTTAAATGCTTTCAAATTAAGCTTCATTTCTCAATTGCAGAGGAGATGGATTCTACACAGATTTTCCCCTCATTTAAGCAGCAGTTCTGTTTTCGAGCATGGCAAAGGAAAAATATAAAAAAAAAAATAGATGAAACCACTAAAGGCACCTCACTCACCCAGAAATAGGCTATAAAAGCCACATTTAGCTCTTGTTGGCAAGGACCATATTGAGCTTCAGTTCAGACAAAGCTCAACCATCAGATAGCTAACAGTTCTTTGAGGTGCCTCGGCAGGAAGCAGTTGCCACTTTTGGCAGTGGAGATTTCCCAGATTTCTTAATTTGGGAATAGAAAAGGGAAGTCCAGAGCTACAGCCTTCACACTTGTGTTAGGTACTTACTGCCAAAAGGAGGCCTTTTTCACACCTGAAGCAGCATCCTGGAGCCCACCTCGCAACCCATGCAGCTGTGCTCATTTCTAACAGGATTCACTTCAGTCTTCTCTTGAGAACTATTTTCAAAAATAATCTTGTTTTAAACAGTCTCTGCTTTAAGCGTAATCCCCTTACTTTAAACACCAGGAAGTAGTAGCACAAGAATTACATTTGCAAACAGGCAATTTAGGTATAAGTGGTTTATAATAAGGGCACAGGAGACACAAACAAAAGAGGTTTCCCCCACTCTTTGTATTCTTTAAATGGACAACCCATTCATGATTTTTATTATTTGTCAGGTGAAGGAAGAATGAATTAGTCAGCATTTAAGCATCTGAAGAATGGAGAATGCAGGCCACTGCTCCATTTTCACTCTGACACAAACATGTCATATACAAAGCAGGCTAGTTTCAAGAAAACCCAGTCAGGCAGTGTCTTGAATCCGATAGTTTCATTTCAGTTAAGAATTTCCTGCAGAGCACTCTCTTCAAATCCAGCAAAGGATTTGAACCTGGTTCCTCTGCATCCTTTGTGCTTGCTTTAAAACCATTTGGCCATTAGTTAGTATCTTTTGAAGAAAGCTGAAACATAGTTTGAGTACTGGCTAAGGTTCAGAACCTTATTTTAGGACGGGGAAATAGCCTCAAGTTGCACCAGGGCAGGTTTAAGTTGGACATTAGGAAAAATTTCTTCACCAAAAGGGTTTTCAAGCACTGGAACGGGCTGCCCAGGGAAGTGGTCGAGTCCCCATCCCTGGAGGTATTTAAGACGGGCAGACGAGGTGCTTAGGGACATGGTTTAGTGGTGGGATGGCAATGTTAGGTTAACAGTTGGGCTTGATGATCTTAAAGGTCTTTTCCAACCTAAACGATTCTATGATTCTTTCTCTAAAACACAACCTTAAAGGTTGAAGTTACACCTATTCAGTTCCTTAACAAACCTTTCCTTGGAAGAACAGCTGTGGTTGCAGCACCATCCCAGCTGAGCACAAAAAGATGTAGCAAGTGCAGTTCAGCTGTGCTTTTAGAGCTGGTCCTTTCAACAACTTAAACCCTGCTAGCCCTTCACTAGCCCACTTGTCAAAAAAGGGCCATTTATAGAGCCAAAAAAGCATGGGAAGGTTCAGCCTACAAGCAAAGCATAACACCAGCTTAACATACCACCACCATTTGCATACAGTAACTCTACTGGCAAAAGAAGAATAGTCTTTATCTAATTTCCTGTGATTTAGTTACTGAATCCTGCACTTACCAAACTGGAAGTCTGCATCAGCAATAAAAAAAAAAAATAAAAAAAAATTACAGTTTGTGTGTAGAATACGAATTCCAGGTCATCACTGGGCAGCTGTCAGAATATCACTCTGAAGTACTATAATTACAGGCACCAATTTGCTTTTACCCAGCAACAGGTGGTGGTAGCAGTTTGTAAACCCTGTAACCAAACAATTTAATATGCAAGGTATTCCCTCTGGAAGCTTTGTAAGTTGGGTTTAACCTGCACCAAAAAGCAGTTAGGAATCAGAAACTGGAGTTAAAGCCAAGCCGATATCCATTGTGCTGCTCAGTTTCAGGTGTCCTTCTGGGGGGTGGCAGAAGCTGCAGAACCTCCCCAGGGGCTGCCTGTTTAATCCTTGCTTCAGTCTTAATTTGAGGTTTACGCTTTTCTTGGCCGAGGACTTTTCATACACCCCCCCCCCAATGCCAGGCTCCAGCCTTCACAGTCCCTGCAAATTACTATGGCATCCTTCAGAAGCTGGACATAAGCAGTCATATAAAAACAAAGACAAAACAAAAAAAAAAAAGATCAGGACGAAAAAATAATGCTGGGCAAAAAGTTTAGACCACAGAAGGCATCAGAATAAAGCATTCAGTGTTTTACTTCTTGTCTAAACTGAGTTCTGTCAGCACAGCCAGTCTTACATACAATTAAAAAGCACAGGTCTGAAAAACCTTCTATCAAAATACCAGAAGGCCAAGAAAGGCTTCAAACAGGAATGTTTACCTTGAAGTAAGACTTTTCAGTCAAGGATCCGATGGGAAGACTGCATGACTGATTTGCTTTCTAAAATAATTGGTGGCTCTGAGATGAGGAGATCATCCTCACCTAGTGAAGAGTTCTGCTCTGTGTTCACAAAGTTAGGGATGTTAAATTTTGTAAGACAATTTAGGTCCTCCTCAAACATTCCGCTGCTCCTGGGAACTTCCTGGAAGTGGATATTACTCTCCAAACCTGGACCTTTCTGGCTTTGCTTTGCTTTGTCCAAATGTTCCACTTCATTAATACAGAAATGGAAAAGTGACCGGGATTCTTCAGCTACTTGACGAGAAAAGACCCTCTCCGACTCTAGAGGTCTTCCAAAATCTGCCACAAAGCTATTCATGCGAAATCTTTTCTCAGAAGGTTCTGCATTGCTGAGGAGGAAAAAGAAAAATACAGTAAGTGTGAAAGTAGAGCTATTTGAATTCTTAACAGCAAATTTGGTTTCAGCAACCATTAAGATCAGGAAGAAAGGAAACCCTACAGCTTATCGACAGCAGACTTTAAAAGCCAGCACTATTTATTATTTTCTGCTGAAGCTATTTTAAGTCTTGATTTGCCATGATAATTTTCCATGGGAATAAGTTATCAATGCCAGCACTCTTAAATGGCACTTCTAGTAATTGATATACTTTAATAATCAGCTCACTGAATGAGCTCAGATATACTCTTCAGTATTTCCTCTTGACATCAAAGAGTATCAAGTAGTAAGAAGTTTTTTAAAATGGCTTATAGAACACTTTGAGGAAAATCTTTGATAAAGAAAATCTTCCCGAGACATAGGCAGCACTGCTGTCGCAAAAGGCATAATTTGAGTGATTGCTTGTCCAGGCATCAAACCATCTTTTCCACTGCAGTCAGTCAACGACATTCACATTTCCAAATCAGGAGAGAGCTGGAACTAAAGACTGCTATAAAGACTGGCGGCCTTAACAATTCAGACACATAGCCCAGGAAGGACATCTTAACCTCTGTCTTGCAGTTTTCTAGAAGTGTGAGCTCAAACAAGCTCCAATCTGCATGGACTTGTGTGCAGGAGCTGTGAACAGCTGGGGGTGAGAAAGCTCAAGCTAGACAGAAGTTTTACAGACAGCAATACATTCTTTGTCAGGCTGATGCTATCACCACAAAGCGCAAGTTATTTGCATCTGAAAGGCAGCAGAGGCATTCAGAGGATGAGTAGCAAAAAATCTAAACGTATTCTCAGAATGTAAGTTTTGTTAAGTAAGAACTACACATTGGTGTGAACAGAATTAGACTGTTTACATGTGAACATGTAGCAAATGACACTAGAGCCAGGTAGTTGGACTCCCAAGGGTGCACACAGCACTTACAGAGATTTTCAGAGAAACATTATCATTTAATTCCTTCGAGCCTGCAGTAGGAGGTATGTGCCTACATGCTTCCGAAAGCCTCAGATGGCACCTTTAGCAATCTACCCCTAAAACCTTCAAGTTCAGAGGATACCTACATTAGTCTTGCAGTGATAGTTAAAGATCCCTGCTTCCCCAGTGCTAATTTACTTCCATTACATGATAAGAGAAGTCTGTCCTAACAAAACCCGTTACACGAGCTTTCAAGCAAAGTAGTCCTCTCATTTATCAAAACTTTATTGGGTCATTCTGCATTTCAAAGTGAAGCACGTAGAAGCATAATGTTGAAATTGATGCAAGACAGATCAGTAACTAAGTAATAATCTACTGTATACACACCAAGAAGCAAACACACTGGAATAATACTGTGGTAGCCTTCAGAACTGATGACTGACACGTATGTATTTATAATGCAACAGAAATCACCACTGTGAATTTAAATTGCGTGTATAGTTTTGCAAATCTGTCACCCAGAGTTTCTATGTCGTATTGTGGCACAGACAGTGGAGGTAGCAAATAAGCACAGAAAAAAGAACAAGCATTAGAAGCCTAGGAAGAAATTACTTTGGAAAAAAGCTTCAAATGCATCCATTAGAGAAGTAAAACCAGTTCATAGGTGTGGAAAGTGCTTTATAATCCAGTGAGCTACAAAGGAGCAAAGGCTGACTGTACAGAGGGGCACACAAGACTGGCAACGGCACCTTAATCTAAATGGAAAAATAGAGGACGCAAAGAAACTTTGTAATGACCCAGGATGCTTGAGGAGATACGATAGAGAACAAACCTGTGCTAACGAGTAAGGAACACATGATCTAATACACAGTCATATTTTCAGATTCTGAATTTCACGAACACTATTCTGTATTTTGGGGAGGAATTTTATTTTTTTTTTAAACTAGACTAGAAACTTGCATAGTCTTGCTTATTACAGTATGCAAAGTACAGCTCGGTGTATCTTTTCAAAACACTCAAAATAAGAAATCCCAGTTTTACTGTGGAAGGGAGCACAGCCACCTGGACAATCAAAGCCCTTTTGCAATATTTGGGTCAGTGGGACTCAGAGTCCCAGAAGCTGCCAGCAAGAGAACAGGAAGGTGAATGCCAGGCACCTTGAGCATCACACATACTGGAAACCACTCAAAACAAGGAGTTGCCAATGAACTAACCCAGGCTCCCTTTTCTGGGAATCTTCCAGCCTGCAATGCTGGGTGCTGGGCTGCTGGATTCAGTCTTAAGCTCTGGACTCTGCCCACTGGACTTGAGCGCACTGTCAGGGTACAGACCATGTTGCCCAGTATACCCTTCTAACAGAGGCATACTGGTTTGGGACTGACACTGAACGTTCCTCTCTAGTTTAAACACCCTTTCTCTCAACACTCCCTGAAATGACCTGGCGTACGTGGCAAAGCATGGAAAGGAGCAAGTAGCCAATCCTCCAAAATAGCAGGGTTTGGCATCCCAAAGGGAACTTGGGGGATCTAAACAGATCCTTAATACCAATCCAGAAGTGCTACCATGAACCTGAGAAACCTTCCTGACCAAGTTTTCAGCAAACACATACATATATTTGTAAAAGTTTTTGTTTCAGAGAAATGCAGATCCACTGAATGGATTCTGGGGTGAAATCCTTAACCAAACCCAACCGATTTCTTTAAAAAAAAAAAGCATCAGTCATTTCACCTTTAATGCAACTAATTGCACAACCTGCCTCAATAGCTGCACGAAGCTTTGAGATTACACCAGCCAAGATTTTGTAGAGATAGGTTATATGAACATAAGCATTTGTCACACAAATGTGTTTTTAAGGATGCTTTTAAACAGAGAAACAAACATAGCGTACGATCTTGTCCTGAGCAATGAATGAAAAGTACTTTCAGGCAGAAATTCAAAAAGACTGTCAACGCCAAGTTTTTGTCGCACAAGCTAATGTTCCATACATACCAATATGCAAGCAAACAAAAGTGCAGCAGGCATCATTTCTGTAACCAATTAAATTTCTACCTCTCCTTGTCCATATCCTGACCCTTTTCTTCTGGTCTGAGAATGTACCCAATTCTGAACATCTTGTACAATTTCAAAAAGTACATGCTATCAAAACCCTTTAGATTGAGGCAAGAAAAGCATACTACTGAAAAATCAGAGTATTCTGCTTTGGATCTATCCATCTGAACCCAGTTACACTATCTCTCACGTTAATGGTACTTTAAAGAGCAGCCAAATTGACTTGCTGAAGTCAGAGACATGTCCATCAATCAGGCTGGCGTTCTCCCAGGAGCTAGGAACCCCATTAACATCTATTTCTAAAGGAGGGCTGCAAGACAGCCCACTAATGAAATGTTCAGTCATAAAGAATCCAGTCAGGTATAAAGAGAGAAGATGCAGGCAAACTAAAACCGTGGTCTGCACTGGTTTTACATGTAGGTATTTATGTTCTCCAGTTTTTATATACGTGTATCAAAAATAAGAGGAGACAACAGTATTCACTACCCTGAGCATATTGCTGGATGTTCTATTTCCAGTACTGTACACAGAGGGTTACCAAATCCCAAAAAAATAGTGCTCAAATTTGTTAAAGGTTACAACTCAGTGTGCGTAAGTGGGCAAGCATTCAAGCACACAGCTCCCAAAGCTGCAAGGAAGTTTGAAACAAATACAGAAAGGAAATGACTGGGCTCTCTTCAGCAACTGAAGAGAAATCGTAATAAGATTTAGGCTGGAAGGGACCTCTGGAGTCTCTAGCCTAATGCCCTGATGAAGGCAAGGCCAACTCCAAATTCAGATCAGGTTATCTGGATGTAGAAGTAGACCAAAGATGGAGGTTTCACAAACTCTCTAGGCAACCTGTTCCAAGAAAACTGATGAAGAAAGCAAAACCACAGTGGGAGATACCAAACAGCCCTCTGCTACCTCAAAGTACATTTTTACAAGTGTACAAAATTCTGGCAAATATCCATATTAAATTCTCTTTGCTCTATATTCGACTTCATCACTTCTTCCCCTCTCCTATTATTCACGTGGGATACAGACTCGGATGCTCAGCTAAGAAACAAGATCTCCAGGAAAAGGCAGCAGCAGCACACCAACACTTAAAAGGTCTTTAAATGTATTTGGGAGCAGGGTTTGGCTACTTTATGACAATCTGTAAGGGAGGAAAACCACCAGCCATGAAATTCAGCAAGTCAGTTCTGGGAAGCTGACTTCTTCCACCTCTATTTCCTTCTCACAGAAGCAAAAATTTAGGAGCACCGAAGAGGCTCACAATATATGTACGTCCTCCCTAATACGGCTCTGCCTCTAAAGATGTGCTATTATATGAAGTTTCAGAGGCAGTCTACATATGACCAAATAGCAAAGGGCCTTCAGTAGGCAGAGACAGGCAGGCTGCTTTAGGAAGCGATAAGCACTAACAATTGCCTTTCGCAATCAGTTTCTCATCATTGCTACCCGCCTGCAAGCAATCTTGCTCTCCAGAGAGGCTTTTTATTTCTACTTTATGGCATGCAAGCCTGAGAGGAGATGTGGGTTCAAATTTTCTCAGAGGAAGGGAGGCTGACAGCTTGTGTGCTGCACAAATGCAGATAAATAGTTGAGGCAAGGTATGGTCTGCACATACTTATCTGCTGGAAAGAACAAAAAAAAAAAAAAAAAGGTTAGTTTGTGACTTCAGGGGACCGTGGTGTTAAACACTTATGGGCTGATCTGTACTTCAGCATCTGCTAGAATTTCTCAGCAGAAACTAAAGACACTCTGACACTAGGGGAGCTACAGGGTTACGGGAAGATTTTGTAAATACTACCAGTATCTACCTTTTGGACTTGAACACACAAACATATGGAAACCCTCCAGACTTCAACTTCCTTAATTTAACATCTGCACTGCATTTTATTTGTATATACTCTGTGAACATTCACATTTCTCTGTTCCACACCATCATAACATGAGCCTACCTAGAATGACCCCATTTATTTGCAGAACAGTAATCTAAAGCCACCTGTTTGGCAGCCTACCTACCAACTTCATTTTAGCATGGAAATGCATACATGCAGCTATTCCCTTCTTACTGCATGCCTACTGAATATTTGCTAAACAGGGAACACATTAATAACAGCTCTACAGAGCTGGTCTCCTAAAAGTGCATGGAACAAAGATTATTTGAAACAATGACAGATGGCACCCTTTCATAAGGACGGAGTAGAACAAGATGGTGCTATGCCGGAGCGATGTCAGTACTGTCACTGCTTGTTTGGGTGCTGCAAAAGAACCGACGCACCACTTAGCAGGCTGGATTTGTTATTCCAGTTTTCAGACTCACTCTTGATGTGGCGCTCCTGTTTTCGTCAGCAGGGTCAGGACAAAAAACATGAAGATGACAAAAACCGCAAGACCAACCCAAAATCCAATAACAATGGAATCTGGTGAAAAAGAGAAAACAAAACGGTCAGTATTCCACCTGCACTTTCAGAAAGTTGCCTTCCACATGCAGCATGACTCCAAAACCCAAAAGACTTTGCGTCTTATGCCTGGATGGCAAAGAGGACGGACAATCGGTTTTATCTTTATTTATTTTTAAACAGAAAGCCACCACTGAAACTCTCATCTCTAGACAGAAATTTGCTGATGTTTGGACAAAACAAAAACAATTTGAAAGAGGGAAGACACTGAATACTCTTGGTTAGTAAAATAGGAGCAGCTCCCTTTGCGATGCCTGGCCCATGTCCAAGCACTGCTTTGGAAACAACTTCAGTGCCAGAACTCAGATGAGAGGATTATTCGATTTTCAGCAAAAACCTCTATCCCTGTAACGACTGCTATCTTATATTATTTCTGCCTGAGACCATTAGGCTTCTGGGGGATTTCTTTGACACAATAGGTTTAGGAAGATCTAGCTTTCTTTCAATGGTAAGATAAAGGGTTCCGAAATAAATGGAACCACAGATAAAACTGTTTGCTACCTCAACAAATAGTAACCAAAGTACACAAGACATTTCTGAGCAATTTTTAATTTGGGCTTCCAACTTGCATACAGAAAACTGCAATACAATGTCAGAGGAGCTAAATGCATTTGGACAAAAAAGTCAAATCGCCAGCTAATCACAAGTAAAACACCAATAAAATAGCCAAATATAGAAGCAATTGGGAAGAGCATAGCTTTTTGCCTGTGTGCATAAAATTTACCTACTGTTCTTATTTATAGCAAATGGACCCACAGATAAATTGTCAGTCCTACTTAAAACAAATGTACACCCACTTACGACTTCAAAATTGATCCACAATTGTTGCTGAAGGAATCAAGTTCCTGGAAGCTTTGAGCTTAAGAGAGGTACAAGTGGGACAAACATTTCCAGACCAACAAATTAGTTGATAAACATGGCCCAAAGCTACAGAGCACCAACGCAAAATATGACCTGGCCCAGGGCCCACAGTATACAGGTGCTTTTTCACCTGTCATTTCAGTCAGTTGTGGGGTTTTTTTATGCAACTATTCAAAACTTCCACTGTAAGAGTTCAAAAAATTAACTTACAAACAAGTCAAAGTGCCTGCTGCAAGCTGAGATTTTCTCCCTGTGAAAATACTTTATCACAATCAAGTCACGCCTTAATCCCTTTTTCTGGTAAACTAAGGAGGTTACGTTTCAAGTCTCTCACTGCAAGGTTTATTCCATCTCTCCTCTGCCATACCCAACCTCCTTTGTGAAACAGCTGGAGAGTGGTTCAAGTATAGGCTTCCATGATGGCGGGGCGGCAGGGGGAGTGTATAATACTCCTTTTTGCTTAAAGCACACTGGTATGAGCTTATTTCTGTAATTTCATGCATTAGGAGCCCTAAATTATTTTCAGTATTATTCTGTAAGTATAGGCTGTATTCAGTGGTTCAAGATGCATCTTGTGTTTGGCCTTACTAATACACAGTAGCTCATGATTATCTACCATCCTACCAGACTTTGCAGTTCCTGAAAATTTCATCTAAAAATAAATACTCCCATTAAAAAGATTCACCACTTAACCATTTACAGCTATTATTACCTACCAATTAGTCAGACATGCTTCAATGATATGCAACTGCATTGACAACCAGAATGTAAAGTTTGATCAAGTAAGATGTCTTGAAAATATGCACATAGATTATATTGATCAAGCTGCCAAACTTAACTTATCAACGAAGGAAAAAAAATAAATCAAGATTCTGATAAACTACTACTCCCCACAAAAATCACACCTGCCAGCACTGTGTGCTCCTGTAATTCATGAATAACAAGCCTGTCTTGTGGTTTGTTTGGTGTTCCCCCCCAAAGGAATTCTTAAGTTTACTGAGCCTAAAGCTACATCTTCCTTGCTTTATTGTAGCTCCTGACACACTTCCAACCCTCTGCTGTATCAATTACACTCTTTAGATTTGTTTAAAATTAAAGCAGGTGGCATGAGTTCTCTTCAGTATTTCGTTTAGGTCTCACTCAGTGCAAATTATTCAAACCTACTACCTTCTAAACATTCAAAATAAACAGTACATGACACAACATTTATTCAAAAAAATATGGTATGTAGGACTACATTTATAATACAAGTTACACATAGATTGGGAAAGCATCCCATGACTTTCCCAACTTGCAATACCAGCCTTCCTTTCCTTCCTAGCACAGACTCATAACATCCCAGCAGCAGTTCTGCCCCCCTGATCATTCCCTACCTATTTTACCTCTAACATACTGAGGCTTTTTCTGATCCTAAGGCACAAAAAAGGATTTTGCTTGTATCTCTGCCAGTCACAGATATCTCCTAGCTATCTTTGTCTATTTACCTTCCAAATTTTAATTTACAAAACATCTGGTGCCTACTTTTCTGGATTTTCTGATTTCTAGTTCCTGCCTTCACTTCTCTGCAGGCAGAACACACTTTTTGTTTGTAAAGCAGCTTTTTTTTTTTTTTTTTGCAGTCCTATATTTGAAAAGTCACTGTGACATTTGAACACCTCATCTTCTCCCCATCTGCACTTCTTTTTCTTCCTTTTTTCAGAAATGTATTTTTGTGTATTAGATTATTTTGTGAATATTTTTTCTTCACAGGTCACTTTGCACAAATTTTTCTCCGCTCTTCTCCCTTTGTATATGCATTGAATTATTAGGAACCTCCACTTGCCTACAATTAATTTAATCAACATTAATCCGAAAGAGGCCTCCAACTTTCTCCTGTGGAATTCACCTTACCTCATGGTTCAAAACAGTGCCCTCATGTTGGGCAAAATACCTTGTGTATAAGAAAAAATTTTAAAAATTTAAAAAAAAAAAAATTCAAGCACTTCTAATTTTAAGAAGAACCAGTGATGTTACAGCTGGCCAGCTGGCACTGTCAGCCTGCATCACCAAAACCAGAGTCCACTCCTCTTCAAGTTCTCCAACGTAAGTTACAGGCATTCATTAACACCCCTTCTCCAGTTTCACTGTTTTATTTTCTTTTAGACTCTTTTCTGGAATTCGGTAGCATTCACACATTCATATATCCAACAGCACTCAAAGACTGTCCCGCCATAAAGGTGCTTCCTGCTCTCAGAGCAGCGCAGAAAGAAGCACCCTACTCAGCCACTTCTGATTTTCAGTACTTGGACTCAATGAGCTGGTGTTTTCTAAATGAAGTGGTATCACTGACATTTTCTCCCTGCACCACACACCTCCCCACAAACTGGTCAGCCCATTTATCCCCTTGGCTTCATTACAGCTCACGGTACAACTGTGCAATATACATATGAGCTAACAGCACCATTTTAACCTTACACTGTAACCCAGATCACTGAAGCAGCCTCTCCCAGTGCTTTCACCTCACTTCATATTACTGACTCAAATTCCACCATTGCTACAAAAGCTATAACTGCACACCTGAAGGAAACAGAGTTTTTCCAAGCGGTAATATGTCTACAAAGCCCCAACCTCACCATTTGTGACAACCTGCCTCTACAAAATTTATCTTAGCAGAGGCTGAAACTAAGCCTACTTGTAGCTGTGCCAAAGGCTATGAGAGTTAAGATTTCTTACGTGGCCACAAAAAAAAAGCCAATAAATCAAAAAATGAGGATTTGTCAATATTCAAAGTCTCCCTCCTAATACAACCCCAGTTTCATCTCTCCTCTTTCCTCCTCAGGTTAGGATTTCAGTGAAGTTAAATGTCTGACCACACTGCCTCCACGTTCCTCGACAGTCTCAACACAGCTGGAAATGGCTAGAACAAGAAACATACCAAGAACATACCATGTCAAGAAATACCATGCCATACACAACACAGACAGAGACTGTTCCTTTACTAGGTTAAACTCAGCCCTCTGAGAATGCACACCAAAGTAAACAGAACCAACTCCAATCTACCAGTTTAAAAAACAAACAAACAAACCAACCGAACAACAAACCACAAAACCAGAAGGGACTTCCTAGGTCACCGATTCAATACTACTATTAGTCTCTCTCTTTCATAAGTACACCAAGCTCCACCTGTTTCTTCTGTCCCATACCCTCCCAGCCCTACGAAGAACACAGCCAGACTGCAAAGCTGAGCTGCCACGCTTGGCATGGCAACCACTTCGATGGCAATCCAAGATCCATTTTGCCGCTATACCTGCTGCAATCCAGAAGTAACTATCATGTATTTTTTTTTCTCCTGTCACACTCTTTGACACACCGAGCTAAAAAGAAGGCATGTACATAACACTGCAGCTAACCTCTGTAATCAGTAATCTTTGTATCAGTTTGGCTTCTGATTAAGTGGAAGAATGGAATATAAATTAGAAACATGAGAAAAGCTAACCTACATTTTTCAAGTACCTAACATTTGTAAAAATACAGACAGTAATCAGCAGACTTTGGAGAAAAAAAAGGAAGGTCAAGTACAATTCAGGCTAAAAAGCAATTCTGCTCTAGTTCTTTTAAAAGTTATTAAGAATTTCAGCAGGTTTCTTTTGACCCTTACAGAGTCTCCCCAAAACATCCCAACTGTGCAGAGCCAAGGGAGATCAGTCTTCCTGCGCTACAGATTGCCACTGCAAGCACTCCTCTGCCCCAGTCTGAACCCTCATCATGATGAATGAGGCAGCAAGTATGTATCCCACCCTGGACCAGTGCACCAGCACTGGATGGAGACCCTTCCCCAAGACTTTGAAGACTGGTGCTCAAACCCAGCAGAAACAGAGCTCAGAAACAGAAACAAAATTATTTGCCTCTCTTTGCCAAAGTGCTTGCAAAACACGTCCAGTAATTCTGAGTTAGTCTCTGTTATGGTTTGGGTTTTTGTTTGGTTTTTTTTTCTTTTTTTCTTTTTTTTTTTTTTTTACCCACACCCATCTCCTTCCCCTTCCCCCCCCCCAAAAAAATTTCATAAAAGTCAAAGCCCTTGCCTAGACTTTAAATAAATGTTGGTCCAGCTATACTAGCTTGTCCTAGCTAAATTTCCTCTCAATTCCTACCCACAGTTTTCATGTCTCTGGTCCCTGTCCTCCACTTGTTAGTTCTACTGTAAAACAGCTCCAGTATTAGCAGAATGCTGAATTTAGCACGCTCCTTCTATGAAATCCCAATGAGAACAGTTTCTTCAGAAAGAGAAATTTCTTCTTTTGTTTTAAATCTTTTATAGCCTTAAATTTATTTTCTATGAAGAAAACCCAAAGCAGTAAGGCTGCCCACCACTGCCCTTCTAGCATTAATGAGAACATGAATCAGAGCAAAACAGATCATACCAAGTAGTCACCAGAAGAAGTGGCCGTATTTGCCTTCATAAACTGTTCCTGATCCTCTGATATTCCTCAGTATTGACAAATTTCTACCACAGCCAAGAAATACATGGTTCTCTCATGCACAAGAAAAGCAGTCAATAAAAAACATGGAATCACAGAATCATAAACAATTATAATAATCTAATCAACATAGTAGTAAGTCTAATTGCTGAGAATCCAAAAAATTAGGAGAGACATATTTTTGTACAATAATCGGTTACAAATGAAGAGTAGGAACATTAAAATGGGCAAGCTCAGCTGCAATAAAGTGTAGCTCTACTGAACTTACATTTATGAGCCTTCAGGCCTTCAAATGACACTGGTCCATACTCATAGTACTCGTACTCCCAGGTGTAATCAGAGTTAGCCAAGGCCTGCTGGGAGGTTTTGTTAGAAATCAGCCTCAGGGCAGACATCTTGCACCTCAATAAACCTGTGGATACAAAATGCGTTAATAGAGACTACGTACTTTAGTACATCTTTTGATTTTATTCCAAATCCTTCCTTATTTATGGGATCTCTTCCTTGCCACTGTTCCCAAGAAGAGCCACTCACACTTACAAAGGCCTTCTCTCACCTGTTCCTTTAAAATCCAGTATCACTGCCCTATCAGACAAGGCCATCACATTCCCTCCCACTCCTTCCCCAGACTTTGCTGGCCAACCACTGCTCAACAAACACAAAGCTTTTCTTCAATGGAAAAAAAGAGAATCTACATTCACTTCCACAGAAATGCCTGTAAGTGTACAAAGGTACCAAACCCAGGCTCTTCAGACTGAATATAGCTTTTATAGCTCAAAAATAGTAAGTACCAAAGACCACCAGCCTCAGAAGCTTAGGGTCAGTGCTGCCATTAATATCTGGATGGAGAAATGGCTGGACCACCAAGCTCAAAGAGTTATATCATTCATACAAGGTGCAGCTGGTTACCAGCAGCACCTCTCAGGCTGATACTGGGCTAATACCTTTTAATATCTTCCTTAAAGAGCTGGACAATGAAATGGAGTGCACTTGTAGTGAGTTCACGGATTACATGGGGACAGTCAAGGGGCTGGGGGGCAGACTGCTACTCAGAGGGATGTGGACAAGCTGGAGAAAGGGACTGACAGGAGCCTCATGAGGATCACCAATGCAAATGCAAAGTCCTGCATCTGGGAGGGAATAATCCCATGCAGTAGTACAGGCTGGGGGTTGGCTGCTGGGAAGCAGCTTCTGCAGAGAAGGACCCGTGGTGGACAACAAGCCGAACAGGAGTCAGCAATATGCCTTGCGGCAAAGGCAGCCAAATGTGTACTGAGCTGACTTAACAAGAGTGTAGCCAGCAGGTCAAAAGAAGTGTTTATTCTTGATACTCGCCACAGATAAGACTGTACCTGGGGTACTGTATCTGGTTTTGGTATCCCCAATAACAGCAAGACACAGAAATGCTGGGTCAAGTCTGGTGACCACCAAGATGGTCAGGGAGCTGAAGCACAGGATGCACAAGAGCCTGAGGGAACCGAGTTTGTTCAGCGTGGAGAAGAGAAGGCTCCTGGGAGACCTTAGTGCTGTCTACAGTTACAATTTCAGTCAGAGGGTGCAGAGACACTCTTCTTAGAGGTGCAGAGTAAGAGGACAGGAAGCAATGGACACAAACTGGGAAACGGAAAATTTAAATCAGATACAAGGAAAAATTTATCTAATCGAGTTGAATGTGCTTTGAACAGGAGGTTGGACCACATGACCACCAGAGGTCCCTTCCAACCTAAATTTCTCTGTGCTAATAAACAGCTTCAATATGCTACTATGGAAGGAAAATAAAGCAGGAGTGATTTTCCCCACAGATTATGAAAAACTGCAATGCAACATTAAGCATCATTGAATTGTCTTGACAGACATTTCTGTCATTACCACAACACTGCACTAGGTATTTGCGTTCTGCAGAGTAATTTTTTCAGAATATTAAGACAGTTTTAAGCGTACCAAAAGAGAGCACATCTCTGTGCAAAACATCTGCAGCCGGAGTCAGGACATCCAACTTGAAACATATTGCAACATACTTTTTGTAAAAGAAAATTGAGCTTTGGGTAATTTTGCATTCAATTAAAACCCAGCAGGGTAAAGAGTCCATGCAGTTTATAGAACTATTGCAATTAGGTGTTCTGTGGATGATAAAACTTCTCAGAGCACAAAGTCAAATCCAGGTAAAAACTATTGAAAAGAAGGGCCCTAAATAGCCATGTCATTCAAAATCACTGAACCTTCAGTCCTTCCTAAGGATAATTAGATTGACTAAGGCTGTGCAAGTAAAGCGCATCATTCAAGCGCTAGGAGGGCCATATATAAAGAACAGGAATCAGGCACAAAATGAGGAACACAAATGCACCCAGGGAATATGAACAGCTTTTCCAATTTCTAAAAGGTTCTTTCTGCAACTATTTTACCATGAGTAAAGGCTGGCAGGAATGTCTCAAAACAATTTTAGATAAACAGTGAAGTATGCCTCAAAAAGTAAACTTCATATCCAGTTACAGTGTTCAGAACCTTAAATGCATACCAAAACATGACTAGCAAGTGATAAATCCTTTAAAACAAGAAATTGATCTATTTCTCAACTCAAACCAACTTAGTTTTCACAATGAGCAATTTGCCAACAGGAAGGGGGTGGAGCAGAGCAGGGAGAGAAGTGACTGACCCCATTTTCTTGGGTCAAAATAGAAGCTTAACATTACCCTCGCTCTCCTTTAGCCACTCAGAAAGTTCCCAGAGAGAAAAAATAGTCTGAAGCATAGAGGAGGAAGAAAAAAAGATGACTGTAATGGACAATCCAGTCCATGCCTGAGGATGTTTCCCATCCTCTACTTCTAACTCAAACAACTGAAAGAGGTTGACTTTAAGTGACTGTGTTAACAGTAAATTTCTCCATTGCTTTCCCAGTGACTAGAAAACCTTCTTATTTCCTGGAATCAAAGAAAGAATGTCTAATTAAGCTTTAAGCAGAGTTTTTTCTCATTTTTAATCAACTAAGATAACTGTTGCCTTCTGGGAGAAGCAAATGGCACAGAGAATAACCGAAGATTCTTGTCCCAGTTTGCTCCCATCTCAGCTCTGTCAGTTGTCAAGACTTTGCATTTCATTTTGTGACTGAGCCCTAAGAGACTACGCAGTGCTGCACAGGGTTCCCACTGTCTTCTTCCCCTTCTCTTCAATGCTTTCTTGATTATGTGTCTCTTGCCAAACGTTATTAGCATGTTCCTGTTTAAGGACTGCTTTTCTCTTTTATAGCCTTCTAGAGAAGTCTTTCATATAAATATTTCTCATATGGCATCACCAATGTTCATAGGCACCTCCTTGCTTCTAGTATTATAAAAAGAGCTGAACAGCAATCTGCAGGCAGAAAACTTCAGAATGGGGTATATGAACAGTCTGAAAAACGTTTGTTCTTCCACCTCAACTGCAGGCAGATTGGATTCATTTGGCCATATGCAGATCTCTCTCCCAATCCAGTCATGACTGTCCATTTATGATTTATGGGGAGAACAGCCACTTCTAGGACACAAAGAATCTGTCCTTGTTTATTCTTAGGTTAGGACTAGAAGCTCCAGTGTTTCACCACTGACTACAAGCGTTTCTAAACTTTCTTCTGTTGCACTATCAGAGGGAGAGGTGCTAACTGAAACCTGGGTCACCAGCTCCCAGGCTAAACCTTTGCCTCAGGATTTGCGGGAAATACAAAATACACCTCTAAATCATTCAGTACAGCTAAACATAAACATTGCCCCAAACTAGCTCGCAGCTGACTTGTAAGCCTTGTCTGTCCAAATGCCTCCAAAAACCTCAGCCTGAAACATGTTAAAGAAAACCTTTTCTACTTAAAAAGCCAATCTAGTATGGTGCAACAAGGACCAGCACAATGAAAGTAGTGAACATTAAGACCTTGCATCTCCCAAAGAAGTGCAAAGCAGGGCAAGTTGGCATGCTAGCAGCGTGTCACAGGCATCTGCCAGGCTGCGGCAGGTCATGGAGGGACTGCGGGGGCCAGACAAGGACTTCTGGGAAGGAACTCCCCCAGGAGATGCACTCAAATGCTCTTTCTGCCAGGAGCAGACAGCAGCGATTCATCCCACAACTCTGAGGCATATCAGGAAGCTCCTCTAATTGACCTTGCTGAGGATGGGTTTGGGGTTTTTTTTGGGGGGGGAGGGGGCAGAAAGAATGGTCTGGGGGGGGGCCCACAGGAACCATTTAAGGCAAACGTGAAAAGTCCCTCTGTTGACTTTGATGCGTATGGATGCAGACAGCCTTTCCTCACCCTGGCTCACTTCTTTCAGGAGCAACTAAGTGAGCAACAAAAAGCTTCACTTTGATCACTCAAGAAACCCCAATGCAGGGCTGTGTTCAGTGCTGCCAGCCAGGAGGCTCAGGCAGGTCAGTCTCCTGGAAACTAAAAAAGGGCAAGTGCTCATGGCCGCCTTCTAGAGCATTGGGTTGGTATCTGCAGATAAAGGCTGTCAACAAGTACCCAGACACTCCCCAGGGAGATATGACTGCAACACCTGGAGTTTATTCATGAGAACTCGTTTGTAACCTGTGTGAAAGTTTGTAAGGTCACAGCTTGCCTGCCAGTGGTACCTGAGCAAGCCAGCTTGACCTTTGGGCTATTATTTGCACAAAATCCACATCTTTCAACTGCAGCAGTGGGGCATCAAACACTGCTGCAGTTATGACTATTTGATTCAATCTGGATGTCATCGGAACATCACACAACACTTACAGCCACTTACCTTTCAAACTGAGTCACTGTAAAGGCAAAACTGGACACAGACCACATCTGAAGCACATCTTCACAGCTTACACCACCACTGGGGCCACAAAGGCAAATTTAGTTTTGTGTACATCTGGAATAGGCCTTGTGTGTAACCAGCAACAACCACCTCCAAACCTGACCTGCATGCACAAGAATAAATCTGGGTGGACTGGTCAATGTACTGTTCATTTCTGGAGCAAGAGAAACTACCAATACAGTAGACACAATCAACCTGGTAAATTTACAATCAAAAACTACATTTGTTTTCATGTACTTCTATTCTGCTTACTGGCATAGCATCTAAGCACTTCACAGAATACAGGAACAAACTGTTGGCCTCTTGCAAACTGCAAAGAACCCAAAAGCCAGGCAGGAAAAAAAAGTAGCAGCATTTCAAATTGTGTGAAGTCCTAGCCTGAGGAAGCTTAGCACTACACCCTGATGCATCAGCTCCATCAACTAGGCAGTACAATGAACCCAGAAGTTGTTAGCTATAAGAAGTTAACAACTCAGGCTGTTCCCATATCCCGTAAGTCACCATACCAGCAACAATATTTTGCGTGGGGGAAGAAGGGAATCACCCACCACCACCACATTCCTTTTTACGCCATGCCAAGGACTAAGAGGCAA